TGCATATCTTCCAGTTTGTGGGAAATCAGACATATATCATCGGCGAAGTCCAGATCCTCCAAGTGTTTTGTGTGAGTCCATTTTATGCCTGTTTCCTCATTGCCCGCTGTTTGTCGCATTATCCAATCTACTGCAATCAGGAAAATCATTGGTGATAGTAGGCAGCCAGCTTGTCTTACTCCTGTCCTCACTTCGAAGGATTCCGTAAGTTTCCCGTTGTGGATTACTTGGCATGCAGCATTGTCATACAGCTGTTGGATGAGATGTATAATTGTCGGTGGCACCCCGTAGTAGCGAAGTAGTTGCCAAAGCACCTCTCAATTGACGCTGTCGAAGGCCTTTTCAAAGTCGATGAAGTTGAGTTGTTCAATGATGATCCGTAATGTGGCGATCTGATCAATGCATGACTCGTTTCTCCTGAATCCAGCCTGTTCCGGTGGAAGTTTTTCATCCAGGGCATGTTTGATTCTCTCCAGGATGATGCGGCTTAGTATTTTGCTTGGGATGGACAGGAGCATAATTCCGCGCCAGTTCTTGCATTGACTTAGGTCTCCTTTCTTTGGTAGTTTGAATAAGTATCCTTTCTTCCAATCCTCGGGTACTTTGCCTTCTCCAGTAGTAGCATTAAGAAGATATAATTTTGCAGATTTTGTGTTATCCTTATTCTACTTTGGTTGTTGTTATGCATGATATGATAATTTTGAACAAAATGAGCATACTATCGAAGCAAAAAACATTCAACTGACAATATACAAGGTGTCTATAGGCTATTCAAATACATAAGAATAAATGTATGTCCAAATACTAGTTCATTCATTACCCTGTACTTTTTGAATGACTTAGCAACAACACATCTTAGACCTTTAGCCGAAAATTCGCATCCATTAATGCATCTGAAGTGTTATCATATGGTATAATATACCATTGTGAATATATACCATAGGGTTATAAGAGTTAAAATGATATGGGAAGATGGTTCCTAATACGTTTCTAATCGCATGGTTTGATGTTGCTAACTTATATATATTTCGCTGTAAGACATCATAGTATAGCTACTAAGATTCTTCATCCTGAGATTTTGTCAGGTAGCACACATCACATACAAAACTCTACACAGTACTCTATGTCAGAAACTTCCTTTAGTTGCACTTTTTTTTATTATACATATCCTATTTGTTGATGTTAGCATGTTTACAAACTTCTAATCACTTTTAACCATATCATGATGAGTAGTCTTTTGAATGTATATAAAAATCATCTTAGCTTCCTCAGATGTTTGACTGGTTGAAGGATTTCATCGTGAGCTGATATCAGTCAGAAAACTATTGGAAAACCTGGGAGTACTAGACAACTGTCTCGTCCTAGTTAGGAACTCTGCTTCAGCAGTACGCACCCAATGGGGTTCGAATCCAGGACTTTCTGGCGAGATAGCCCTTAGACCATTAAGCAACAGGGACTCGATCCAATGGCACATGAATCAAACAAAAATCCCAACAAAAACCAATACTTGAAAATTGATCTAATGCTCACTAGCGACTGGAATTATTCAGGCAGGGTTCTAGTGGGAAGTCGTGACCAGTAGGGTACAGCAGGTCGAAGGTGAGGCAGTAGCTCATCGAAGAAGACATTACGAAGTGGTTACTCTATGTCATGAATTGGCAGAAGTTAGAATTCATGAGCTGGCTGGCCATTGGATCAAGCGGGTCTCAGTGGCTTAATGGTCTACGAGCTTGCTGGCCTTGTAACCAGAAGGCGCTGGGCTCAAACCCTGTCGGTGGGTGGGTACTGCTGAAGAGTCCCAAACTAGGACGGAACAGTCGGCTGTCCAGTACTCCCAGTTGGTTTTCCAATGGTTCCTTAACTGATGTCAGCTCATAATGAAATCCTTCAACCAATCAAACAAAAATCCCTACAAAAGCCAATACTTGAAAATTATTCAAATGTGATATGAATAATTGGAAACCAGTAGTCAGTGTTTAATCTAAGCGACACTGACATATCAGAAGATCGTTTCGCTTGTTTCTGTATCTAACGCCTTGAATTCCGGCTAACTTACTTGAGTGAACTGGTAAAATAACATTGAATCAGTCTTGTTAACTGCAAAGCATACACAGTTCGAGGTAAAGAAAAAAACCCACCACAGTTTCTCTTGGATTGACTGTTTTGTTTTCCATCATCTAAATAATTTTGTTTACCACAGAATACTGTCCTGCATTTTCATCTCCAGTTGTGTGTAATTTGCGAATGACAAATATGATTCCAAATTACATTTGGTTTATAAGTATGTAGGTTTTTAATGTCCCAGGTGTTGTAAACTATGTAGAGTACTCATTCCATCTGAAACATAAAATTATTTTCTACAACTCCAACCGTGTTTGAGAAAAAACACACAACTAAAATACGATTATTTCTAATGCAGCTCTCGCCACGAATCAATATCAGAAAATTACTGGAAACCTGAAAACACTGGACATTTGGTTTCGTCCCAGTTTGGGACTCTTCAGCATTGCACATATAGGACCTCACCAAGGATCGAACCTATAACATTCGAGTTATCGGGCTAGATCGTTGACCATTCATTCAGTCGATGGATCTGAATTTAATGACCCACCGCCAACCACCGTCATCAGTGATCATCCATTTCAACCTGACACATAGTGGACCACCGTAATGGTCCTAACTTCTCATATATATATATATATATATGTATATATATATATGTATATATATATATATATGAAGAAGTTATGAATTACACAACAAAAGATCCATTAATATGCCTTTTTTCTAATTTTTATAAACACTTTACAATTATAATAAACTACAGTTTAATGAATTATTTTTTGACCTAATTTATTTATAAGTTTTACTAGTTGATAAAAGTCACTTTGTTTCTTATTTTGCCCAAATAGGACCAATTTTAAGTGGGAAGGGATGTGTGCTTACCCCTGTGTGTGTGTGTTTGTGTGATAAGGGGAAAACTCACTTTTATCTCACAGAGAATTACCATCATACACTTACTGGTAGTGTATATCCCCAAGTTGGTTAAAATACAAAAAGTAACATGGATAATACCAGTGAAATTATTTCATATTTCATAAAGGGGAAAAATGAAGAATTAAAGTATGTGAGTAAATGAGTGAGTGTTATTCTAACTTTGATTTGTAAAAAATCTCTTTACTGTCTACCAATGAGTGACACTCATACCGTTATACCAGTTACTGGTTGATTGTTTTGTGATCGTGTGTGTGTGTGTGTGCGTGGATGGTCTTGTTGGTGGTGGTATGTAGGCATAGGTGTATGTTTGTTTCGATGACCCATTAGTGAACGATAATTACTCAAAGTCTACGGCTTAGTTAATCGGGTATTATCGATTATATTAAAATTAAAGGTGAACATAAATCACATTTACCTGTTAAATTTTAAGTGATTTTTTTTTTAAAAAGGAAAGTATTATGATTACTATTCAGTTAGGATAGGATAAATAATAATAATGATAATTTATACTGAGATCTTTTAAAGGGTAAGAAGGGAATTAAATGCCTACAAGGTTCACATTGATAATAAGTCATTTTAGAATTGAAAAGATTGGTGAGTGACATTCATACATTGAGTCTTGCTTACAATTTTATACACATACTTATACATATAGTTGTATGAACTTTAGGAAAAGAACAAGAGATTATATTATTTTGGTTGCTAATGGTTACTGGGACAATGTACAAGGAGCATTTCGTCGTGTTTAGGTCTTGTTTAGCGGGATATACCTACCTCTACAGTAGGTGATATTGTTCCCACTTAGAGTTATAATGTATGAAACAATGAATGGGTGTTGGATTTCAGTCTCAACCATCACTCACTATAGATTCGGATACATCAATTCAATGAGTTCTGCCTCCTGAATTCCATAGCGAGACATCATCAACCAAGTAGTATTATATTCATCTTAAAGCATCATCGAAACGTCCACATTGGGAGTTGACCTATTTACAGAGACCGAACATTTCCATGCAATATAATCAAAAAGCCAGAAGCTCAACAAATTTCAACAAATAACGACGAAGATTAATTAGTTCTTCATGGAAATTACTTCAGTTGCTTGTAATTTATCATTCCAAGTGGAACATGAGGCTTCAACACCACATATTCGCTTTTTTCTATTGCCTGCAGTCCTCTTTAGCCGGCCAGACGAGTGCCCACAGTATCTCACTTCCTCGCACCACCCTCACAACTACGCATAACCCGTCGTTTCCCATTTGGGTTCCACTCAAGCGATGAACTAGCGCGCTATATCACCCATCAGTCTCTTCAATGGCGTGTGTCCTATCCATCACCATTTCCTTCAGCATGTTTGTTGAGCGATATGCTCTTGGTCGGTTTATTCCTAGAGCTTCTTGTTGCTAATTCTTTCCGATCGGCCATCTGATCCTCAGTATGGAGCTATCAAAGACAGCTGTTCATAAAAGTCTGCAATCTGTTGGATATACTTTTCGTGACGCGTTCACCAGGTTTCTGATCCATACAGCAGAACCAACTTGCTCAACATTCGTATTGAAAATTCAGATTTTGTTGTTTATGCTGATTGTGTTCAGAATATCTCCTAACTGAATTCAGCTTAATGAATGCCTATCTTGTCCTTCCGACCCTGGATTTAACATCTTCATTCATGCAGACTACCTGTGGCTGAAACGACGCTGTCTGGTCGGATAAGTGAAGGAAGTAACCTCTTTTAATTGTATTCCATTGATATTACTACGTGAAATATATTCTGGATGGATAGACTGATTTCTATGAAGTAGTTTAAAGGCTAAGGACAGAAGGCAACTGTAAACTCCAGGAGGTTTCAAACCAATGATTTTATAGAATATATACTAAAATAAATGTTAAATAAAGATAGGAAACTAGCAGACTGATAGCTGGAATATTGCCAGTGTTTTAGTTGTTACTTTATTACATGAATGAATATATTATAAGAAAAGATAATGACTCAGGCAACTTACCAGCTATAGATAAATATTGTTTTTGACGAAATTTTCTTTCCAATGCTAATAACTGTTGTGTTGTAAATGGTGTTCTTGGACGACGATTTGGTTTATGCTTTCGAAGAGTACATTTCGGTGGAACAGGTCGATCTGAATTGTATATATTTTATGGTGGAAAAACGAGAAAAGAAAAAGAAAATACAGGCTTTGAATATTTGAAAGTATAAATTAAACTGTAAACGAAATAATTCTGTAAAAACGGTGAACAATTAGTGTTGAAGGCAGTCGGCAGGAAGCCTTAGAGCTGGGTTCCCTGCTTGTTAGCACTCAACAGTCAGCAAGGCATGTCTGGAGTTTTGAAGGACCTAATGTCCCTCCTGAGATTCGAATTCGAGTCAACCAGTGCTGCAGTTATGTTATTATCCTCTGTTGAGTGCAATTCAGAGTGGAGGAAAATTATGTGCAGGCAATGAAATGACTTGAAATAATTTGGTGGGTGGTGACTGGCAGTAGAATCCACAATGCGCATTTCATCCTATTTAGGACTCGTCAGCTAGTGGATGTGCCTGTATTCTCCAATCAGTGATGGTGTTCCCACTGGGGGTCGAACCCAGTACCCATAGTTTCAAATGCCAAAGCGTTATCCACTAGGCCACATCTTGTGCAGTGAGTGTCAGTTATTATTCATTTTGAATGTCAACAAGAGCCAGCCATTTCCATCTAATCGATCAACGGGAACATCAAAACTGAATTAAAGATAAGTAACCGTTAAATGATCTTCATATTTCACTCAGTCCCACCATGATCGATAGGTTTTTTCATTTCCTTTACGTCCCTAGTGGAACATAGGGGGCTTCAAGCTAGAGCTTTGAAGTTTCGATACCAGTGGTACTTATTTTTACGGGATGGGGTTACTAGCCTCATCCCTAACCTTCCCTCTTTACCAGTCTTATTGCTGGCTTAGCGAGGTAAAGGAGTGCGTCGGCCGGGAATCGAACCCCGAACCACATGAGGCGTGGTTGGGGAGCATTCTACCGCTGTGCCACTGACTCACAATGCTTTATGTGACTGGAGTGGAAAAAAACCCACTAGTTAGGCTACAAACTTCAACTGACGATAATCTTCTAAGTTATGAGATCACAAATGATGACTGAAAGTGACCAGAGCTTCCTATTAAATAATTATGAAAATTCTTAGTAACCAATGTAACCGATGAAGTCTTCGCAGAATGAATCTATATCAAACGGAAGAGCAGTTTTCGTACAAAAAATAACTATTTAAGTGGGAAATATCACCCTGTACTTATTCCCTTCTTTTTACAGTAGTAACATTGTAACACAATTCATCTGGAGCATAAACTCTTGCAGTCAGCAGTCACTCAGACAATTCCAGGCAAGCATTTTATAGTTCCAGACACTCTTGACAAAATATTACACAATTTTGTTAAAAATTACTTCTATTTAAACATTTTACAGGTGAAATTTCAACAACAGAAAACCCCCACTCTGCTACAATAACCTGATATGAAAATATGCTGTTTACAGACAGTGAATACCATTGGTATGTGTCATATTGTGAAACATGCACCTTTCGCTATTACGTAATACTACTGTTTCGTATTTAGATAAGTCTGTTATTATATTATCAATACCTCCTTTAGTTTTTAGGGGAACATAGGGCCTCAACCTCACATATCCATTGCGTTCGGTTCTCCACCGGCTTTGCCACCTGGCTCCACGTCTGACCACATGCTTTCATCTCTTTGCATGACCTCCTCTATGTCACCCTCGCACTGACGACCAACTCACTACTTCCCATTCGGGTTCCACTCGATCGGTGTGTGATTTCACTCACTTGATGGTTTGTTTTCTCAGCGTATGGCCAATCCATCTGCGCTTCTTCCTGTATATTTGTTGCACAATTGATCACTACTGGATTTGTTCGTTCATTCTCAGAGATCCCTGTTGCTGATCTTTTCTGGCAATCAGATCTTGAGTATTGAGCGAAGACAGCTGTTGGTGAAGGTGTGTAGTTTGTTCGAAATGCCCTTCGTGACGCGCCAAGTCTGTGATCCATAAAGTAGCACAAACTTCACATTGGAGTTGAAAATCCGGATATTATTTTCATTTTCATGCTGAGTGCTGTTGATGTCCCCACAAACTTGAGAGTAATGAAAGCTTGTCTTGCTTTCCCAACCCTCGCTTTGAGATCCTCATCGACTCCGTCCGCCAGTAGTTGAAACGATGCTTCCTAGGTAGGTAGGTAGGTAAGTAAGTTGAGGAGGTTGCTTCTTTCGGATTCCTCCCATTTATGCTGATTGTTGTTTGTTGTAGCTGTTGCTATTGCTGTTGTGCGAGAATCTTCACCACCTCTGTTTTCCATGTGATCACCTGAAATCATTGCTATCTTTGATTCTTCTTCTGCCAACTTGTTGCTTTTCACTTGCAGATTTCCCAGTCTGTTGAAGGAGAATATTTCACTTTTCCATAAGAAACCGTGGTGAATTTTTAACTGAAATTATGGAGTTTACAAACGATGAACTGCAATCGGAATTAATCAAAACTAGATTGGATAGAATAGTATTCCTCCCATCGCCTGACCCCAAAGAAAGCAGCAACAAGGCAACTGTCTCCTTCAAGTAAACTTCCCAATATATTCTTTGGATTATGTCCATTGTTTTACCCCAAAAAAATCTTGTAAATACTTTTGGGATGAAAAATCATAACATTACTCAAATGAAATTCGGAAATTATAGTTGGCCAGGTAATATAGAAAAAGTCTTCAAATAATATAAGTTATGCCAAAGTACACGAAATTAAACTATTTTTCAATGAAAATGAAACAAAAATTCCAACCTGATTGCATCATCAGGCATGGTTATATATTTACTAAAAAAGTTTATGTCATGGATATCATTAGGCCTAGTGATTGAATATTTAAGATTAGATTTCGAAAATGCTTATAGAATGTCATATAGTTACTATTTTTATAGAATAATTGCTCGCCTAACCATCTATCTCATACTTTTAATCCTGGCAGCTGGCCTAAATTTTCTATCCACCAAAATGCATCGTATTTACTCCATTTCATATTGCTTTATTCATCTAATTACCACAATGAGTCGCAGTCTGTACTCGCACACAATTTCAAATAAGTTTCTACCTACCGTTAGGATTTTTCTGAAGGAAATGGAGAAAAATCATTTTGGAGTAGTGCTGGAGCATACGTCGGAAGGAGCAATACTGCCTTAGATAATATATTATCGGTTGGTTATTGTATTATTTGAAGTCTGCGCACAAGGAGTAAAGTACTTTACAGTGAAATCGGTTGAGAATTCTATATTTTTTTTATTATAGCTTGACTCTACACCGTACTTTTGGTACAAATATGAAATTTTCAACATGTGATACCGGTAGCCCAAATTTTTCAGGCTGACCATTGATATCAGGTGTGCGTCGACAGGGGATCGGACCTCGGACCATGTGTATGGTCGGTGAAAGTCCTAACCGCTGTGCCACCAATGCACATATAAGCGCATCTTTCAAAACAAAGCGATTATTACTGTTATTATTGTCATTTTAAACATTCTATCAATTATGACGAATGAAAACGAATGCGTATTGGGAACATTACTTCTAATCAACTATCATATTCGTTAATGTGAGTAAATTTCAGATACATATATATCAACGTCTAACAGTTGTATACGTGAGAAAGTAACAAATTATCAACGTTTAGTCAAAATGTGACTAGCCAGTGTTAAAGTAGAGATTATAAATCAGTACTTTTGAAAAAGCAAACGTTACACACACACACAAATTTACTGATACAAAATAATGACAATACTACCAACAACGACAGTTATCACTATCGTGAGCAACTACCATTACCGGTATATTAATTTTTCTCAAACAATATTATCATTGTTGTAAGTGGTTTTAAGCATGCTCATTCCACGGAATTTGTATATTTAGAGGATGGTACAGAGTAAAGTGGGAGAATTGTTCATTCCGGAACTTAAATAAATATATTCTGTATTAAATGATCTAATTGTTGGTGGCAACATTACTTCAATGACCTACCGTTTCAACAGTCTATTTTGTGAACAAATGATAAAACTAGGGTACTAATCGCTTGAAGAAATATAACACAATTTTGAGCACTAAGTTAGGATTCACAAGTGATATGTGGCAGCTTATGACGCTAGTGAAGATTCTGTAAATGAAGTTTAAAGTAAAATGCCTACTCATGTGAGTAGTTAATCATGTTAGGTGGTTAGAGGTAATCAGTAGAAAGGCCCCCAAAAGCCTGGGTTTCGTGCTGATTGGCACTCACTCGCAAAGCGTAACTGAGGATTTAGATGGAATGATGTCCCCTCACTTGTTATCACCCCTGAAAGGTTATGCCTAGTGTGGTGATGACAGATGCGCAGTTGATTTTGAGTGAGTGATAGGCAGCTCAGAAACATCATTAACTGAAGGGATTTTTTTTATTCCTTTACGTTCCCAGTGGAGCATAGGGCTTCAAGTTGTAGCAGTGACTTTCCTTTTTACTCTGTGGGGTTGCTAGCCTCATACCTAACCTTCCCTCTTTACTGGCCTTACTTATCGGTTTACCGAGGTTTAGCAGTTCCTCGGCTAAGGATCGATCCCTGGACCACTTCCGTGGTTGGCGAGCCTTCTACCATTGAACTATTGATGCACTGAAAGCCGAAGTGGAATTATAATCAATGCATAAATTTGGCCGTCCATAATAGATCTTAAGGCGTGAAATACGAATGGAACTAAGATTCTTTACTTCTCAACATTACTCTTATTACAACTAACGCTAACATCCTCACATCGTTAGAGCCAGTAACAAATAAATAACATTACAGCATTATTTATATTATAGTTCGTATGAAATGATTGTCCCTGTATTTCATTGTAATCAAATATTTGTATTTACATGACATAAAAATTGTGAGATATCATACTGAGTTGCATTCTAGTACACGACCACTTGAAATAAGATAAAACGACAAAGCGGTATTAAAAAACTTGTTATATGTGCGTATGAAAATGTAATAATAACAATAATAATAATAATAATAATAATAATAATAATAATAATAATAATAATAAGGAAATTATTTATCGTTTGTATATAGAATTCAGATGTTAACCACACATATTTTAATAATTGCCCATTAATGAAAATATTAATATTGACAATAATGATTACTATTGCGCTACATAAATAATAGTAGTAATAATAATAACAATAATAATTACATTGAATATATTCATTAAATACTTGTTTATTTAACGGCATTAATCAGAATACTTTGAACTTATTCACAGGTCATTAATTATGCTTAATATAACAGCACATAATATTAATATTAAAAATAATAACTAAGGTTTATATTTAATTAAAAAAATGGGAAGTTTAACTGTAATGATTACGTGTTGTAATTTTTTTAATTGAGACACTTTTTCTACCAACTTTGATTACAAAACGTAGCTCGTCAAGAATCAACATCATCGAGGTAATCAGTGATAAACTGTTTCGGCCATAGTTTGAGACCGTTCAGCATTGTACGCCAGCAACTCCACGAGAGGTCGAACCAAGGACTTACAGAGTGCAAAGTGAAACTGTTATGCTATTCAAATTAGTCATTTAGAATCCTAATGATCTACAGTTTCTAATTTTTATCAATTCACACTAGTCGTACCCCTAATCAAAGCTACTGATGAGCACACGCGACATTTTTTTTTCTTCACGTTCTCCAGTGGAACATAGGGCTTCAAGCTTGTGGCTTGAAGTTTCTGTAGCAGAGTTTATTTTACAGGATGAGGTTGCTAGCCTCATGCCCAACCTTTCCGCTTCACCAGCATTATTTCTGGCTTAGCGAGGTAAAGGAGTGCGTCGGTGGCCGGGGATCGAACCCCGGACCATGTGTATATGGTCGGCAAGCGTCCTAACCACTATGCCACCAACGCTTATTACTGTAGGTTAATTACCAAATATCCTATAAGAATATAGTGAAAGTTATCTGTATAGCTTAACTTGCATTCTTCGTCAAATCAGTGCTGAAACCAACTTTCGAAAACCACCAACTTCCATATAAACTCTGTACATTTGACAAAATTCACAATAATATTGCATAACATATATTATGCCATAGACTTTTCTATTTTTTAAATTGAATTTTAGATTTTCACGTCCATTGATTGATTGGACCGAAGTGCTGGGTCTCAGGTTGACATATCGGCTCCTTGTGCAGATGCTTCGAAGATGTCTGGGTGTATATTTAGAGGTCAGTTGGTGGATGGTAACTAGCAGTGGAATCCAGGATGCGCATTTCGCCCAGTTTGGGACTCGTCATCTGGACGTACCTGCATTCGACAGGAAAATCTAAAATTGAATTAAATAATTGATATGACCCGTGGTACAAGAGGTGGCTCTCGTGGTTCAAGTAGTCTAGTGGGTAACGCTTTGGCGTTTGAAACTATAGGCACTGGGTTCGAGCATCGGTGGGGAATGCAGGTACATCCAGCTGACATATCCCAAATATTTTCTATTTTTTCATTGATTATGTTGATTATGCAGAAATATTTGCTTAATTCACTAGATCTTATGGACTAATAGTCTGAAGGATATTGTTTTGAATTCTTCCTTAACCCAAATGTTTTCTGTTTCACACTCAGCTACCATACATTATATTATCTGGTTGATGGTAGCTGGCAGTAGATTCCAGTATGCTTGATTCGTCCTGTTTAGAACTTGTCATCTGAGTGTACCTATATCCCTAGTCAGTGATGAGTGATATTCCTGCTTAGACTTGAACTCGACCACCCATCATTTTAAACAACACTTGGTTCAGTATAATTAATCATCTGAAAATATAATAAATATCATACATTATTATAAATACACTTTAGAAGTTCGTTGAACAGAAACAAGTATATAGAAGTAAAAACAAATAGCGTAAACTCACAGCCTAATCCTCCAAATGTTAAATAATCATTATACGCTGATTCATGAAATGGATTATAAAATTCATGTTGTTTAAAATAAGAATTTTGACTATGACTCAATTCATTGTTATTATTATTATTATTAGGAGTAGCAGTAGTAGGAGTGTTGTTATGACTTTTATTAGAATGACTGTTATAGTTGTATTCTTTATTTGGACAAATCAATGTAGACGAATATGTATTTGTTGATTCCACAGTCTTATGACGATCATAGTGTTTTTTAACTTTACCAGCGTGTTTTTGTTCATTACACACATTGTTATCACTTTTTGTAGAATTATTCCCATTCGATTTATGTTTCAAATGACTTTGTTTCTTGTTCATGTGATCTTCCTTATGTAAAATATTTTCATTGTCAGATTCTGAGTTGAAATCAACCGTTTTCATTTCTGAATTATCTTTATTTGTATTAAAGGAACAATAATGATGATTGTTTGGTGGACAGATATCATTCTGATAATAGTCAATAATTCCATGATCATCTTCATTACCATCATGGATAACATCATCAGCATCCTCATCCTCATTGTCAACATTGACGTCGACATCATCGTCTAATAATGCATCAATAGAAAAATGTAATTGTCCTGAAGTTTTCGTTGTCATCAAGCTTTCATTATCTTCAGTATTGACAATACTACTGTTATTATTATTATTATTAGTAGTAGTACTAGTGGTTGTATTCTTTCCAACTTCATGTTTCCAGTTTGATAAATATTCCGGTGAATAGGGTGAAACATCTTGAGTACTTTCATAATCCATTGAATTATTTAACATATTCACAGCGGATAATGTTTTACAATCAAATAATAATTAGTCAAATACTTAAATAGCTAACATAATTGTAATAATAGTAATAATAATAATAATTATCATTATAATAACTTTCGTTTTCAATGACACTTGTAAAACGCTAATTATTTATTTATTGACCAATCATAATAAAATACTGATAAATAATAGTATATTCCTGCGCATAAATGTAACCAATCACAAAAGAGTATAATTCGTAAATTTAACCAATCATAATAATTAGATTTGAAGAGGACATAGGTAAGGATACCACTTTACTTACTTAAGGTAAATAGGCGAGAAAAAATTGTTTTCCTTAACTTTGTAGTCACACTGGTTTAATGAAAGTGGTTGTAATAAAAAAAATAATTAATTTGTTATTAAAACCAGAGAATTAGATGTTCTTTTTGGTAAAACAAAAATGATTTCAATATAGAAAAAATCCCCGTTTAGACATTTGGAAAACAGAAAGATTGAGCAAAGAAATATTTACTTTTCAACTAGATCCTCATCTCTGGCTCTACTCTAATATACACGTATAGCATTTTTATTACAATACACAACAGTTTACTAAACAAGTGGCGATATGTTTGTTAACAATAATTAAACAGTGTCAAAATGTCAATGGGTTGATAATTAACCAGTTTGACTGCAGCTGCGGAGCCACCTACATTGGGCAAACAATTAGGCAGGTTCATCGTCGTATTTCCGAACATCATCCAGCATGGTTAAGCAAGGGACAAACAAGATCTATTCGTAGTTCTACTTTAGCACACCTTGTTGATACTGAGCATAAGGTTATTGTTAATACTGCATTTAAAATTATTTATCGCATTCCGACTAATCTTAATTTTGCTCTACGAGTTCGTCTTCTACAGACAGCTGAAGCAATCGAAATCCACCTGAAGAAGCCAAGCCTATGTGTTCAGAAGAAATTTGTACAGCCACTTTCCTTACCGTGGCCATCATTACGAGAATGCATAAGCAGGACTACATCGCCCCCCTCCCCCTGAACCTATTAAATTATAATTGTCCAAATTATCTTATTTTTATTTTGACCACTTCATCTTTAATTACGTGTTATCCTTGTAAAATTAATTTATTCTATCCATTTCTACCTTTTTAATGTGTATTGATTTTCTTCGTTAATTATCAACCCATTGACATTTTGACACTGTTTAATTATTGTTTGGTAAACTGTTGTGTATTGTAATAAAAATGCTATACGTGTATATTAGAGTAGAGCCAGAGATGAGGATCTAATTGAAAAGTAAATATTTCTTCAAGTGTTGGTTTCTAGGGATTTGATTGGTTACAGGATTTTCATCCTGAGCTGACATTAGTTAGAGAACCACTGGAAAACCACCTGAGAGTACTGCACAGCTGTTTCGTCAGCCTAGTTTGGGACTCTTCAGCAGTACGCACCCACCGACAGGGTTCGAACCCAGGACCTTCTGGTTCCTATTAGAACCCAGGTAAAACTACCTCCCTGAATAGGGCAAGTCGCTAGTGAGCACCTCATTAATATTCAAGTGTTGGTTTGTACGGATTTGATTGGTTACAGGATTTTCATCCTGAGCTGACAATTTCTTCGCTCAGTCTTTCTGTTTTCTAAAAATGATTTCCCAATTACCCAGTGGAATTCAACTGTTACTTCATTTCTTCAATTTAGGTGACTCCATTTACATAACACCGATCAGTATGGCTGGTGGTAAAACCCCTTAGCCCAGTCAACAGTGCTGAATAGTAAGACCAGAGGAATCTAAATTCCAGGTAATGTGTTAGTAATTTAGTGGTCGGAATGCTTGACAGCTACGCACACAGGAGGTCCAGGTTCGACTCCCGTCCGATGCCTAATTTGTTAGTCGCTAGTAAGAGTGAAAAAGCAGCTGGATGGGAGCCTAGTTATCCCATCCTGCAAAATCAACACCACCGTTACTGAAACTTCAAAGCTCTGAAATCTTATATTCCACCTGGAAATCAAGGAATAAAGAAAACACACAACACTCAACTTTTTTAAATTTGATTCCTTTACCTTCCGAGTGGGACATAAGGAATCAAGCTAGAACACTGAAGTTTCGGTAGCAGCGGTTTTATTTTTACAGGGTGGAATTGCTAGCCTGACTCCCATCCTCTCCTTTTCACCCACCCTACCACCGATTTAGAGAGGTTTAGGAGTGCATTGGCCGAGAATTGAAGCCCAGACCACTTGCGTGGGGAGTGTTTTACCGCTGAACCATCGACACATACGACACTAGATAACCGTTTGAATTGTTTAAGAATCTCAAGGTATATTTAGTCATGAGCTGACGTCGTTTAAAGAATTATTTAAAAGCAGGAAGTATTAGACCGGAGATTCATCCTAGTTCAGGACTCTTCAGAATTGCATATACACGACTCAATGAGTTGGTTGAATTCAAGACCTTATGGTTACCAGGCCAACCTTTTAACCATTCCATCATCATGTTGGAATTTTTGAATTATAATTTCAAAAGATTAATTACTGAAGAAAGAATATTCTTTTCGATAACTTCATCTTCAGGTTCTGCAGTTGTATATCCATAATAATGAATGACTGTTATTGACAACATTGGTGTTTTTTTAAAGGTAACATCGAATCATTGAAATCAGAATCCCAAAAGTTATTTTCAAATAGATTGTTAGTAGTAATAATAGAGAAGATTTGTAGCTCAGGTGGATGATTTGCAATTAATAGTGTTCTCTGAGCTGGTTGGTTTACTTACGAAGCTTTCGTCCCCCTGCTGGACAACATCTTCAGCGCAATATTTAGCAAAAAGTGAAATGATTTAAATTTCTTCATGAGTGATACAATTGCGTCTCCTGGTTACTATCTTTACATATGTATTCACCATTTTCTATTGACTTGGATTTTAAACTTTCTGGTCACCTGATTTGCTTTTTATTAGTTGGTATATTTCGTCTATATTAACGTGCTTGTTAATTGCATTTTTGTTTGAGTACCAGGCTTCTAGGAATTCCCTGGCACTCTTAGTGTTTCCTCTGTCTAACATTTTGACATTATCCCAATCAAATTGATGACCATAATTGTCTATATGCATTGATACTGAAGAATTCATATCGTGTCTTTTCACGGCTGATTTCTGTTCTTGGATTCTGATTCGAAGGGAACGCCCACTTTGGCCGATGTAATGCTTGTTGCAGTTCATACAATTTATTTTGTAAATGGTAGTAATTTTATCCCCTTTTTCTGTTGGATATTTCGGTTTGCATAATATCGAAATAAGTGATTTGACTGGTTTGTGTGCTATATCTATATCAAACGGTTTCAGTATTCTAGCTGTTATTTCAGAGATATTTTTCATGTATGGTAGAATGAATTTTCTTGTGGTCTTTGATGATGGTTCTTTGTTGGTCTTTTGATTCAACTTTAAACACTTTTTGATGAAATTTTGTGGATAACCATTCTTTTTTCACACAGTTTCGTTTGTGAGTAACTGGATTTTTGCTAGTATAGTTGAGTATTTGATCTGTGTGCGTTGATTTTCTATATACTTGTCTTTCTAAATCTCCTGTGTTGGTTCTCCTGATTAAGACATCTAAAAATGGGATTTTGTTATCTAATTCTTCTTCTCTTGTGAATTTGATGTCTTCAAATATGTTGTTTATTAATTTAGTAGATGATATTCTAAAAAATATATGTGATAATATGTATAATTGTAACACTAAATTGAACACCAATATTAAAATGTGAATGTTTATGAATGACAACGAATATATAGTAACGAATTCTCATGAGTCATGTCCATATTAATGGCCTAATGGTCTACGAGCGTGCCTTGTAATCAAAAGGTCCGGGGTTCGACGCCGGTGGGTGAGTACCTATGAAGAGTCACAAATTAGGACGAAAGGGCTGTCTAGTACTCCCAGGTTTGCCAATGGTTCTTTAACCGATGTCAGCTCATGATAAAATCCTGAAACCAATGAAATCCCTGCAGACCATCACCTGAATAAATTCTGTTTATATTGATTACAAACTTCGGATGGATGAATTATCATTTCAAGGACGGAGGGAAAGAAAAAATTTAGCATAGAAGGTTATGTGCATTGTATGTGAATCAGTGTGCAGGCTAACAGCTACGTTTAAATAGGAAAAAAAGGTTAGAAGTTAACTGGTGGATGGTGACTAACAGTGGAATCCAGGATGCACATTTCGTCCTACTTGGGACTCGTCGACTGGATTACCTGCATTCCGCAGTGAATGATGATGTCCCCACCGAGGCACTTCGGGCCAATCAATCGACGGGAAAATCTAAAATTGAATTAAACAAAAGGTTAGTTAATGAAAGTTTAATGACAAGGGGTAGGGGAATTTATATATACAGGATGTAGGGCCATGTCAAAAATGTAAACATAATAAGGAATTCATGAATTTGCAGACTCCACTGAAGGCCGGGTCAGTAATTATGGTAGGACCTGTTTCTTCTGTACACAGAGCATCAGTTGTTTTAGGCGAATTACAATAGTTTCTGCTGTTTGGAGTATTCGGTACCTGGATGCTTTTGGCAATTCATCTGATACCCAATAGACGATAGAAGAAGATTCTTCAGTGCTATCCTTGTGGCTGGTTTTGAACCAGGTGGTCTAATATAGCTTTCATTACACCTTTATGTAGCCTCCCGTTGGTAGGTGTTCCCTAGCACGCGGATTTGCGTGATATATCACTACTTTCTCATACCATCAGCAAGTATCTATCCTTACACCAGAATGGTCTGTGGTTTATGGGATTATCTCATTGACAAATCTACTTAAGATTATTTAAAGCACAGATTTTAATCATTCAAACAGTCTCTCAGTCCAACTGGTTAATTGCATAAGCGTTGTTTAAAATCAGTAAAATTGTATGAAAATTACATTGAAAAGTTATTACTACATTTTTGGGTTAGACTAACTTATGAAGTAGAATTTGGCTTCCATAAGGAATCTAAAAAGAGTTAAACTACAGTATGCGCGTCGGTGGTTCAATGGTAGAACGCTCACCAACCCCCCACGTGGTCCAGGGATAGATCTTCGG